CAAGCTGGATTCAAAAGTCATAGATTTACTCTGAGAATCTAGGCTTAAGCGCTGACCAACTGGAACAACACTGCGTCCTTGAGGCAAGGTCTGAAGACAGCTTAAGTAGTGGATCCTCTGATGATCTTGATGAGCTGCAGCTGTGCAGGAGGCTCCCTCAGAGGATCCACGGCGGACTCTGCTGGAGAAAGGTGGGATTTCTCCAGCTCCCAACAGCTTTACTTACTAATAAAGGTCGCTTGCAATGCTATTTTCATCTCAACGACCCAGTTTGATGAGCTGCCATCCTGTATTGGTGTCAGCAATCCTACGAGGACGTCAACGTCACATAGCTGAGCCTCTCTCTGATCAGTTGTTGTGGCAGCAAAGGTTCAGACTTCCAACTCAAGTGTCAGTTGATGTGAAGCACCTTTACAGTAAATTCTCATAGCTTGCTTGTCGTGGGAAAAAAAGAATTCAACTATTCAGTCTAGTTAAATAAAGGAAGATCGATAGATTTCTTTCAGTCAGCATTTTATTTATCTTTGCAAAGAGAGAACCGGGCATCATAAAGCCTTTATTGCATGGTAATCAACCCTGTTTTGATTTAGCCAGAGTTTGTCTTCCTTACTTACAATGATGGAAATGCTGAAGGTTGTGTCAGATTCAAAACACATCTCTATCCAAAGCAAAAAAAAAAACAAATAGCAAAGACAAAGAAAAACAAGAACAAGAGCCTCATATTATGGCCAAACAATCCCTAATAGGATAAACAGCTCCCTCTCTCTTAGGCATGTTGTGGCCTTTGAGCTCTGAGGCTGAATGAATAAAACTCAGCACTCATAATATGTATATATTATGAGATTTTTTTCCCCACCACAGAGCTGGTGCAGTTGCTCGAAATTGGCTGCAGCACCATATAATGTGTTTTGCTGCACATCATGGTTTTTGCTAAATGACATTTCACCAAATACTTTGTGCTTTTGATTTATACACTATTTTAAAATCCATGTATTCATTTAATTTCACAGACAAAACCCTCTTTTTTGTTGGTCTGTTATATGAAGCCCTACTACAGCAGACCTGTGTTTTTCCCCTGTAAAGTGGCAACATGTGAAAAAGTGCAAGGCATACTCATACTTTTGCAATACACTGTATAAAACCAGATAAAATTTAAAAGCATTTCTAACAAAACTACTGGATTTTGCTCCTTAACTGAGAATCATACTGTAGTCAGTTTGTGTCATTAACATCAAAGTCAGCCAGACCACCCCTGTGGTAAATTAATCTGGGTTCTTATTTTCTCTTCCTTGCATTACAGGATGATGAGGAGGGCATTTGGGCATAGCTGGAACAACCAAAGCTCTAATGTTGATTTTAGGGGTAAGGTAACTTCTTTATCAAGCAGTTTACATTTCATACACAAAACACTAAACAATATCTAGAATCATTCAGTTTTTGTAATATTTTTGTTTGTTTAGGAGATGCATTCGCTACTGGAGGAGCATGGCCATCCTAAGATGTTGAAACACCACCCAAATGAACATTCACCATCATTATTGAATCTTAACTTCTGAACAGTGGGGCCTTTATTTATTTTATTTTATTACTTTTTCTTTGTTTTTGTTTTTTTCTGAGGAACAAGAGGAGGTACTCAGGTTTTCAGGTCCTGCAAGGAGACTGGCAGCTGAACAGGTAATTACATTAGGGTTCAGTGGTTACTAGTAGCAACCAAATTAAGTGATTTTGACACATTCTTTCCCACAACCTATTTTAGTATCCTGGAAATTCAGAGGCCCCTCTTCAATCCTCTCTGACTTTAAGTTCATACTATGTATCTTCAGTTTGCCTGTTCTATCAGCTTTATTGTCTTTCTCTAACATCACTTTTTTGTTTTATGCTTATTCTACAGGAGACTATTCTGTTACATTTCTTACTTTATCTCTCCATCCATTATATGTAGTCTACTTGTGAAATATGCTAAAAAAAAAAAAAGTGTTGCACTGATTGATCGGCCGGCTGATCAATAATTGGGAGATTGATGATTGGACGATGCTTAGACGTGAAATCAATCTTTTCCATTACTTTTATCTACCACTGCAAAGCATGACATCACCCACTACTACTATGCTCTAAACTTAGATTTATACTTAAAAAAACGTTATTTCAGAAGTTTTTATTATCCACAGCTACTGATTAATATCTTTCATTAAGATAAAATTTAAATATTAAAGGTTTCATGTGATCATATAAAAACTGACAGGATCAGTTGAAAAAAAATAAGAATCTGTATGGGTCAAAATTCGAATCAGCATGTCAGGGTTTAAGGATCGGGAAACTGTGGTCGGCCAGAAACCTGAAATCAGTGCACCTCTAAAATGAACAGGTCCACACCCTAATATATCCACTTCGGAACTTCAGTGTTGGTAGAATTTCTTTTAGGAGGATGCTGTATAGTTTCCATTTTTAGTTAAATACAATCTAAGCAAACATATCCAAGGAGGTAAACTGTGGTCTTACCTGACCTCACTTATAATCTCTTGGTATTTTGCTTGCTTGTCTAAAATAAATAAATAAATAAATAAATAAAATTAGGATAATCCTAAATAACCAGTTATTATGCTTTTTTTCTCAAGAGTGGAGTCTTGTGCGATAAGTGTGTTTAGTGACATGAAGCTAGAACAACAAGCTCTTCAAAACTCTTCTGCTTATTGTATTGACCTATTTTTTCTGAAATCTTCGGAGGAGAATCATGACTAGAGCGCAAGGATTTTGCCAAAAATCAAAATTCCAATTATTTTCTACCAGTATTGTGAATGCACTAACTAAAAGCATATGGCGTTTCATTTCAAAGGATGCTTGTCCAGCATCCATTTTTGCAGGACTTAGTGTAAACTTTGTGTGTAAAAGTCCTTACTTCTATTTGCATGCCTGGGTTTGCATTTTAACTTCAACTCTCTTTTCTCCTCTTTGTGGCAACAAACCCACTTAAAGCGTCTTACCACCACTTAAAGGACTAGAATGACAAACTTTAGTATCTTATTCTAGTTAATTGCAATGTGACCAAAATGTAGTGCATCTGTAGATTGAGAATTGTGTTTTATTAAATTGCCATTATATTGCAAATCCAATTCAATGTCCAGCCCTAATCTTGACTGGTTTATTGTAAATTTATGATACTTCCCCTAAATTTGTATATTTAATATATTTTATCATTATATATATATATATATATATATATATATATATATATATATA